AATTACAAAGCAGTGTTGCCCATCTGTGTAATTGTATTGACTCAATGGAAACCAAAAATGTTTTTTTTTTTACAATTTCAATAGGAAATGGCAGGTTGGTACTAACAATTCACATATGAGGACTTGAAAAGACACTGCCCTTGGACTTCTAGTTTCACAGCCAAAGTTCAGACAAAAATCCAATATGGCAGCTGCTCAGCTGATACCCCCATGCTAAACGCAAAGGAAATTCACACAAGACAAGTAATTTGATGGGTTCTGTTCGGCTACTATTTCATTCGGACAATAGCTTTTCTCAACAGCCAAACACGGACAATGACAAAAGGGGGAAAGTAGAAAAAGCAAACTCTATTAAAAAGAACCAGTGTAGTGTTAAAAAGATACAGCAAGGTCAGTATAAATGGTTTAATGCTTTTTACAGTGGTAAGTCCATGAGGGTATTGGTAACTGGGATTTGGGCTGCAATACTACCCTTCACTAGGATACAGACAAGACAGGATTACAGGATCATGGCAGTTATAATGAATCTGGATGAAATTACAATCTTAGAATGATGACGTGGTTAAGATTAACACAGGTGCTATTATGGTAAATAAATAACACTAACCTGTAACACTGACTTCCATATCACCATTCGTGTTCACATTGGTGTCCAACTGTTGACTTAGTTTGATTCCACCAGTGGAGCTATTAATGTGAATCAAACTAGCATCATTCCCACGGATTATACTATACTTTAGCTGATCCATAACATCTGGATCATGCGCCGGAACTGAACCAATTTCTCCAGTAGGGAAGTAATCTTCAAAATTATTGAAAACAATGGCAAAATCATTGATGATCGGTATATTGTCATTCTGGTCTATGACATGGATTTTTATAACAGCATCATTAAACAGCGGAGTCGAGGTTGCTCGAACAATTACTTCATATTCATTCCGTTCCTCATAGTTCATCTCGGCTGATGTTGTAAGTTGCCCAGACTGATAATCAAGAGCAAAGAATTGCTCATCACCACCTACTATTGAGAACGCTACCACTGCATTCATTCCTTCATCTGGATCAGTGGCAACAATAGTATCCACTAAAGAACCGATTGGACTATTTTCATTAATCTCCACGTTAATAACTGCCGACCTAAACTTTGGCGAATTGTCATTGACATCCTTAACTGTGATCTCAATATTAACTGATGTACGCCGCTGTGGAGTCCCGCGATCAGTTGCATAAGCTTCCAGGTTGTAAACTGCTACTTCTTCACGATCAAGTCGAGCGTCAGTACGAATGAGACCTGAATTTGAATCTATTATAAATGCACCATTTCCATCATCACCACCGCTGAAAGTGTATCTTATTCGCTTATTCAGACCTATATTTGAAAAAAAAAATTTCAAATGTAAAATACCATATCTGCAAGTTATTAGAAGCATATCTCCAATCGATTAAAAAAAAAACATGTAAATTATTTATTAAAATAAATATTAGTTTGACCATAAAAACACAAATGTCATATGCCTAAGTGTATGCGCTACAAATACAAAGAATACAGTAACTTTAAACATACCATACTTGCTCTATTAGAATAGTATCCCTAATAAAAGTGATTGCATATTGCATATATATATATATATATATAATGTATATAGCGGTAGTAAAAATGTGACCTTTTTTGACCATACACACTCACTCCTCTGCTATTCATGCAAGTACACTTCTAATACAGCAAATATAGTACTGGTAGTTACAAAATGATTTCTTTTTTCTTAAAGACAAATTACACACTCTTTGCTATCAACACACTCCATAAACATTATTTATGATTTAATGTAGCTAAATTGACTGGTCATGTCACTGAAATACCAGGCATACAAGAAACCATGGCATCTTAGTCGATACATAATCTCTTAAGTTACCAGGCATGCATGCAACGTATGCTTGCTCATAATTATTAGGGTATCAGTATTTCAGTATTAGCTCTGTATTTCTCTTCTCCTGTCTACTTTTAGTAACTCAAACTGACTATCTTTATTAACCTAACACACCGCACAAATTTATCAAATGCTGCATACTGAATAGAAGCATTACTCATTTCCGCTAATCTTAAAAATAAATAAAGATTGTTGATACTTCTTGGTGGTGTGGTGCTGTAAAACTGAGTTGACTGCCTTTGTTCGACAGGTACTATGCAACACTGCAATTTGCAGTACAACTAAAGCAAAGTAATAGACATGCAAATTCTGGACATTTTATAGTATATGACCTTGTTTTTACAGCACTGCCCAGTTGACCCCCTCAAACATCTTAGTACATGTTACGACTTAACACGCTCCCATCATCTAACAAAAATCGTCACAATCGATCATACATGTAAACCATATTACTCATTACTAAGGACAAAGATTTTAAGTTCATGGTGTTCTTACATCTTTGAATTATACTTTGTAGGCCTAAGACATCTGATAATAAAAGGGCATTAAAAGGACTGCATCTTTACTTCAAAAGCAGGCATACATTTGAATGCTTTGTCAACAAGATTCACAATTTTTTGTCCCTCTATTTTTGGATAAAAAATATAAAAAAGAATATTTTTCAATTTTATATCTCCAAAATAAATATGGCATGGAAAGAACCCAGTATTGTCCTGTTGTCTACATGTGACACACACAAACACTATCAACAGTGACACTTGACTTGTGTTGCATGTGCCTAGACATTAACAGTGTGCTTGACAAAAGCCATGTACTAGTATTTCAAACTCACTGGGAATTTATTTAACGCTATGCTGGAAGGATCAGCAGAATCATAATTTAATCTATCATAAGTATTACTTACAAATCATTGAAGCTAATACACAAGATAAAAAAATCATCATTTTGAGAGAAAATAAATACCATATTTGTTCTATGAGAAGCGCATATAAACCCCAAATCAAATTTGTTGCATTCTGAATTTTTAAAATATTACTTACAATGAGCAAATACATAGTAGGGTACTAAGATCCCAGTTATTGTTAGTAACATTTTGTAGAATTTTCCTCTCCCACTGACTAGCGTTTTGGTATTTTGATTTAAAATCGTCATTACAATTACATTTTCTTCATGAAAATTTATTTTTAATAATTTTTAAATACTTCTTTTTCTCCAAAGACATAATTTTATAACATTTTCATTTTTACTTTTTGACAAATCATGACTATGCATAACATAACTGTATTATGAATTGTATGCGAAAAAAAGTAGATTAATAAGGCCCCGTGTAATAAAAGAAAAAGTTAAATTTTTTATTTAAAATTGATGCAAGGTAGACAGTTTTCATTTTATTTATCATAAAACACAGTTTTTATTTCAGCGTTTTTGAGAAAATTATTTTCTGTTTTATTTTTTTTCAACTAACAAAAAAAAACATTTCTAACTGACATGCACAATGGCCAAACTTGTGATTTTTTTGGGAGCTAAAATGCAGCAGACGCATGTACATGTACACATATCTATACACAAGACACTTAACGTACTCTTTATAGCATTTGTGGACTTGATTACCTCCTGTTTCGGGTTATCTGAGATACAAGGACTACTGGTATGTATACCATTACATGCATCAACCAAACAAAAAAATGAAAACTTTTTTACCTTCATCTGCATCTTCTGCTGATATCCTAATGACACTGGTTCCTTTACTAACATCTTCTCGTATCTCGCCACGATAACTGGATTCTTTAAACACAGGATAATTATCATTGACATCAATGACAGTAATTTCTACATCTGTTGTATCCAACTGTGGTTTCAGACCGTTATCCTGTGCTGTCACATGTAAGGTGTAACTCAATTTAGTCTCTCTATCAAGTTCCATTTTTGTCAAAATGGCGCCAGTATCTTCATCGATTTCAAACTCTGGAATATTATCCATTGAATAAGTGATTCGGGCATTTTCCCCAACATCACCATCAGTAGCATGAACCACCACCACTGTGCTACCAGTAGGTACATCTTCATCAACGGAAACAGAGTATGGGGACTGCTCAAAGACTGGCCTATAGGTGTTAGCATCAGATATATTGATGTACACAAGGCAGTTATCAGACAGTGCATTATCGGACGCAGTTACCGTCAACACAAATCTCTGTTCTTGCTTATAATCTAAAGGAAGGGCTACAGAGATTACACCTAAACCCATTTGACTGATTATGCTGAAGCGATTACGCGTGTTACCAGCAGTTATTTGGTATGAAACACTGCTTTCTTCATCAGCATCTGTTGCTGTGACAGTTGCAACACTTGTGCCAGGTCTAGCATCTTCTTCAACAACAACATTATATTCACTTTGGGTGAAAGTTGGTGGATTGTCATTAACATCCAATATCGTTATACTGATTTGCGTAGTTGCACTTTTTGGAGGATCCCCTTGATCTTGCGCTACTGCAACAAAATCATACCGCGAAGTTGTTTCACGATCAAGCTCACGTGTTGTCACAATCATACCACTATTTTCATTAATGGAGAACGGGTTACCTGTTGGAGCATTTGAAATACTGTAAGTGAGCTGTGAGAACAGACCTGAATCCTCATCAAAAGCTTGTAAATTTATGATTGAGGAACCAATGCGAAGATCTTCGCGAACAGAAGTCTGGTACAAAGTGCTTGGAAATCTTGGTTCATTGTCATTGACATCTTCAACATTAATTACAACATTTGTAGAGTTCGATTTTGGAGGCCTACCACTGTCTTGTGCACGAATAACAAGACGATAATTACTGGTAATCTCGTAGTCTATTCTGGATATGACAGTAATCTGTCCACTGAAACTGTCAATTGCAAAATGTCCCTGTGAATGACCACCAACCATGCTGTACCTTATTTCAGCATTTGTGCCCTCATCTCTGTCAGTTGCAATGATGCTTTCAATGACAACATTAGGACTTATACTTTCTGGGATGATGACTTCGTATGTACGCTGACTAAACTGCGGATAGTTGTCATTTTCATCCAGAATATCAACAGTTACTTCAGTGGATGCTGACTGGGGACCAGGGTTACTACCCAAGTCCACTGCCAAAACTTCTATAATGTACTGAACAACTGTTTCACGGTCAAGTCTACTCCTTGTGGTGATGACACCAGTCCCTTGGTCAATACGAAACACATCATTCGGAGCATCTGGATTTATGATACTGTAGCGAATATCAGAATTGCTTCCTATGTCATCATCAGTGGCACGTATTTCAATAATAGTTGTTCCTGGATCAACATTTTCTCTAATTGGTAATTGGTACGCAGCATTTTCAAATATTGGAGGATGGTCATTCAAATCTTCAACATTAATTTGTAAAATTGTTGTATCAGAGCGTTCTGGAATTCCTCCATCAGTGGCAGTGATTCGGAAGAAGTGCACATCCATATTCTCTCTATCAAGAACAGATTTTGTTGTTACGAGACCAGTAGCAGAATCCATCTCAAACATACTCTGACTTCGTCCATCTCTGTCAGCAACCATCTGATAGGTTAGTGTTCCAGCTGATTCAGAATCCTGATCCACAGCTTGCAATGTGGTAACCACATAACCTCTATCCTGGTTTTCTGGAACAGTTACGATGTACTCTGGAAATGCAAAGCTCGGTGCATGATTGCTTGTGCGAGTGGCCCTGCGCAATCTACGATGTGTTGTTGATTGTGGTTCTTGTAAAGATGATTTATTTATAATAGCCCCAGAGTGATCTGTTGTGCGCTGTAAAATCAACTCTATAGGAATCTCGGGAGCATATTCTATTACTCCGAGTTTGTTTTTGAAACAGAATTCCTCGATTCGAACAGAGATCTGCAGGTCTATTTCATGGTCTTGTAAGCAAGTAGACTGCAGCGCGTAGATGTTACTTGTTGTGGGATCCAAATAAAACGATTCGCTAGAATCTCTAAGATTGTATATTAAGTCACAACTTACTAGTGTCCTTGGTAGGAAATCATGCAGTGCAAATAATTTCTGTCCTTGAGTGAAACAAGCACTGTGTTTGAAATCATTCACAACAACGAGTTGTAAGTCCATACCCCTCACAGGGAGGCTTGACAGCGAAAGAATTTCCAACGATTTTCGCCTAGTGTGTTTTAAACTTTTAACATAACATTTAGGACCGTGAAAAGTCACCGTCAAAGGAGTTAAGGTGTAATTACTCGAGGTACTATTACTACGAGTTCTTTTGCTAGCTTCAATGTAAACGCTAAAAGGGTTTTTTACTAGTCTAGTACAGTTCACTGCTTTGCGCATAGTGACCACCCCGTGCTCGTCGATTTTTAGCAAATGTTTACCCTGGTTTGTACTCAATGATTTTTCCAAGTCATAGCTCCAATCTTCACCTATACTGGCATTAAAAAGTACTGCTCCTGATGGCACCGTGTCTCTGAGGTGAATATTGTAAGCAAAACTGTGGTTGAACAAGACAAAACAACAGTACAACAGCCAATATGCTAATGAAAATTCCATTCTGAGCTCTTCTGCCGGTTCCAACTGACAATATATCACGGCGAACACCGCAAATTATACTTCACGAAGTAAAATACAACTGTCCTATAATCCATGATACGTTACCGATATTGGGTATC